AAGGAAATTATCCTCCAATTAAAAAGAAAAAAAAAGGCATTTAAGGTGCCTTCCCTGGTGGTCTAGTGGCTAAGACTCTGCATTTCCAATACAGGGGGCTTGGGTTTGATCCCTGGTCAGGGAACCAGATACCATATGCTGCAACTAAAATATCCCATATGCTGCAAAGAAGATCAAAGACCTGCATGCTGCAATGAAGACCCAGTGCAGTCAAATAAATAAATAATTTTAAAGATAAATAAAAGGCATTTAAGAGATACACTACCCAGTTGCAAAATGAAATTCAAACACTGAATGTATTTGATATTAAAGAATTATGATTTTTAAAATGTGATTATGGTAGTACAGCTAGGTTTTGAAAAGTGTGTGTGTGTGTATATATATATATATATATTTTTTTTTTTTTTTTAAAGATTGTTTTAGCCTTTTATGTTTATTTTTGGCCACACTACGTGGCTTGTGGGACCTTAGTTCCCTGGCCAGGGATCAAACCCAGGTTCATGGCAGTGAAAGCGCAGAATCCTAACCACTGGACAGCCAGGGAAGTTCCTGAAAAGAGTATCTTTTATAGATACAGAATATAAATGTTTATGTATGAAAGAACAGGATGTTCTAGATTTGCATCCAAATAATACAGAGGAAAGAGATGAAGAATATATAGGTATATGGATGAGACAAGACTGGCTGTGAGTTGACAACTGTTGAAAGTAAAAGAGGGGAGGGGTACTTAGGGATTCATTATACAATTCAGTCTATGAGACTGAAAGAGGAGAGTGAAAATGCCAGCTTAAAACTCAACATTAAAAAAAAACCAAGATCATGGCATCCAGTTCCATCACTTCATGGCAAGTAAAAGGGGAGAAAGTGGAAACAGTGACAGATTCTATTTTCTTGGGCTCCAAAATCACTGTAGATGGTGACTGCAGCCATGAAATTAAAAGACACTTGCTCCTTGGAAGGAAAGCTATGACAAACCTAGACAGCATAGATACCACTATGCCAACAAAGGTCCGTATAGTCAAAGCTATGGTTCCATTAGTCATGTATGAATGTGAGAGTTGGTCTATAAAGAAGGCTTAGGGCTGAAGAATTGATGCTTTTGAATTGCAGTGCTAGAGAAGACTCTTTGGAGTCCTTTGGGCTACAAGGAGATCAAACCAGTCAATCTTAAAGAAAATCAACCCTGAATATTCACTGGAAGGACTGATGCTGAAGCTGAAGTTTCAATACTTGGGCCACTTGATATGAAGAGCCAACTCACTGGAAAAGACCCTGATGCTGGGAAAGATTGAAGGCAAAAGAAGAAAGGGATGGGAGAGGATAAGATGGTTAGATAGCATCACCAACTCAATGGACATGAATCTGAGCAAACTCTGGGAGATAGTGGAGGACAGAGAAGCCTGGAGTGCTACAGTCCATGCGGTCACAAAGAGTTGGACACAACTTGGTAACTGAACAACAACACATTTTCCACTAAATAAATCAAATAAAAGAATAAAAGTTATTGTGTTGACCCACTCGCCATTGCAGGTTCTTCCAATTTTCCTCAAAGATAGGGAACAAAGGAGAAAACAGAAAGAAATACCCCAGGAATTGAAAATGGGTTCTCTAGGAAGGGACACTGCAGACATGGTATGGAAAAGAATAAGGGGCTGTAAAAAATAGTGTTAGCTATGCTGTGAAATCATGCAGTTTGGATGCTGTGTTAAAGGGGATTATAGCACTGAGTTAAAGCTGATTTCAGAATAAAAGAGCAGATGTGTATAAACCTAGTAAAAACATTTGAAGCTTTGGCTTATGAAATGAACTCTTGACTTGAGTGAGTGAAAGGATAATTGCATGTAAACCCTGGGTATCAAATCAGGAGGGTTTTAATTACAAAGGAGCTTCCTGAAGCCCTCTGCTCATCTCTTAATAAAGCCCATATCACACAGCAGTATAATTATATGGCAGTCGCCCTCCTATGGATAGAACCACTTGTCATTGCTCCTGGGAAGGCAGTTCTAGCCTAGATACAGTCCTTCAGACACTCCATCCCTCAAGTCAAAGTAAGACTCCCGAGGTTCACCAGGGTCCTGGCTCAGAGAAGAAATAGCACTGGCTCTAAGGTGATGTGCTGTGTGCTTAGTCACTCAGTCACGTCCAACTCTTTGTGACCCCATGGACTGTAGCCCGCCAGGCTCCTCTGTCGATGAGGATTCTCCAAGCAAGAATACTGGAGTAAGTTGCCATACCCTCCTCCAGGGGATCTTCCTAACTCAGGGATTGAGCCCAGGTCTCCTGCATTGCAGGCGGGTTCTTTACCATCTGAGCCACCTGATAAATATATATAAAACAGGAAGGAAAGAACAAAGGAAGGAAGAATGGAAAGAAGAAAGTCAAATGTCCTTTATAATATCCCAACGACTTATGTAGGGGTAGCATCCCTGATTAAAAGTAATCAGAGACTCCTCTATGATCCTGAGGTTCCAGGGAGAGAAGGGGTTAATGCTCTCCCAGAAATTCCTTTCAGACTAAGCCCTCCAACACACAGATTTATCTGCAAGATAAAAAGTCATTCCCCTCCCCCCCAACCCCCAAAAGCTGGAAGTCCAGAGATAACAGTGGGAGGCACAGTCAGCTCATAAATCTGCAGGGCTCAGGGCTCTGGGCAGCCCTTCTCATTGACAAAGCAATTGATACTTCTGCCAGGGAGGCTCCAAAGAAACTGTTTGTCACTATCTCATTTAGAGTCTTGACACCAGCACCCTTCGATAGTTCAGCTGGCAGAGCGGAGGGCTGCGGAGGTGATAAGAGAGTGGACACCCAAGTGGAGACACTGACACCCAAGTGTACAGATGTCAGCAAAGCCCAGGGACCCCGAATCTGTGAAAATCAGGATGGCAGGTCAGCAAGGGCCCTGAGGGCTAGGCTCTTCCCAGATGCCACTTTCTGACTTTCTTAAGGTTGTCAGCACCTGGGCCACTTGGTCTGGAGACATCATAACCAAAATGTATGGAAGAAAGTCCCAGCCCAGGAGCAGGCTGCAAGAGCCCCTCTCCAGGTTGATATCAGGTATTTCAAGGCAAGGCAGACAGCCAGACAGCTACGTGTCCTCCACCTCTGTCCCTCTGCAGCTGGGCTCAGGTTTTCTTGTTCGAGGTGATGTGAGTCCACAGCATATCGCAGTGTCTCAATGAATGGCCTGCATCTTCACTCTCCCCAAAACCACAGAAAGCCAACTGCTCTTTTCAGAAAAACGGGCAACCAATTGCTTCTGCTCAAGCAAGACCCTCTCTGTGAAGTCTTCCCCCAGGACAAATGAGTCAGCGTTTCTGTGCTCCCACAGTGCCCATCAACTAACAGCTTGGCCATGGCACTTCTCACATAGCCTGGCCCACCGCCTGGTTCTTATCTGATGAGCTGTTTTACCCATGGACCAAGGTGCCTTGAGGCAGACTGTAGCTGACTTCCTAGATCCTTAGTGCCTCAAATAAACTTCGAGTGAGAGTGTAAATGGTGATCCAGGACTCAGCAAGCCAAGACACCTCTGGGTAAAAGCCCATATCCTGACTCTTGCCTGAATCCGACAAAGTCACCTCCATCTACTCAACAGTATTGAAGCATTTGCTATGTCTGCGCCAGGTGGGCATTAGGCCAAGACCTGGGAGTGTAAGTGAAACAAGAGTCCCTTCCCCATGAACCTCAGATCCTGCCCTGAGGCTTTCTCTGCTAACAGTTAATGGAGTCCATTTGCAGGATGAGCTGGACCAGGCATGCAGACAATTAAACAGTTATGCAAACAAGCTACCACATGCTCATTCTAAGGCAGCAGGCCCTGAAAAACAACCCGCTGGGGTAGTGGAAGGAAAATATTAGAACGCCTATGAATATTTCTTTTTCATCAAAAAGTAAGGAATTAAGCTTTAATAGTTACTACATGGATTGACAACAGTCTTTGTAAATTCAAGTATGTGCCTGTGGCAGACAGACCCCAAAAAGAGGGGATATATGTATATGTATAGCTGATCCACTTTGCTGTGTAGCAGAAATTAACACAACACTGTAAAGCAACTGTACTCCAATTTAAAAAAAAGACTTCACCTTCAAAATGCAAGGGGTGCAGGTTTGATCCCTGGTCAGGGAACTAAGATTCCACATGCTTTGTGGCCAAAAATCCAGAACAGAAGCAATATTATAACAAATTCAATTAAGACTTTAAAAATGGTCAAAAAAATCTTTTAAAAAAGTGACATATAATAGAGGGCATTAATGGGATCATAAGGTAAGCAATGACTGCTGGAAGGGAAGGAACACTTCAGATGACTAGATCGGCTAGTGCAAAGGCAGGATGCATTCCGGTGACAGCAGCAACTCAGCAAGGCTGCAGGCTCGGATTACTGAGGAGTGGGAGGGGAGGCGAGAGACCAGCCGAGGAGGATCAGGGTCTTCTTCCTGTACTCTGACACCCTAGGCTAACCACCTACAGTGGAATCATCAAAGAGGCCCGAAAACAAACCAGGCATGAGAACTGGTAACCTTCAGAGAACTGCATGAGTAATTACAGAGGGGTCATATTCAGGGTCTGAGGCCAGCCTGACAAGTCACAGAGAAACAGAGAGAACCACCAGACTGCAATCAAATGGAATAAATCTATACTGTGTTGCTAGGGAGGGGACAGGGAGTAGAGAAGATGCAGGACCCAAAAGGCAGGAACTCCTCTTACAGAAGAATCTGGGAGCTCATGTTTCCCAAATGGATAAAGACAGATGAGTGAAAGTAAAAGTGTTAGTCAAGTTTCCCAAATGGATAAAGCCAGATGAGTAGACTTCCCAACTGAAGCCTCACCAAGAGGACACACACATGGACACGTGTGTACACACACACCACACTGGACTGTGCTGATGGATAAAAGGGCCCAGGCCTCTTGATGTTTGATGTTAACAACAGGATTGATGTCCCTGCCCATTGCTACTGTACCTCACAGCGAGAAGATGAAAGATACTTTCTTGCTTTCCTCTTTAGCTGGACTTGGCTGCTACAACTGTTTGGTTTGGGGCAGCTGTGCTTGTTAGGAGATGGTCCATCTCTGGTGCATCAAAAAAGTAGGCCTGCAGGAAAAGGAGACCCAGGAGGAGAGTTAAAAAAATAATGGTCCAGGTCAATGTCCTAGACTCCACGCTAAGAGCACTTCTGGGCTCTCGTGGCCCCTACATTTCCCCCACCGCTCTGGTCATCACTGACCTGTCTCTGTTTCTGTCTTGTACTCGACTGCATGCCTTTTAAAATTTTGCTACCATTTATTAAGCACTTGCTGCCTATGACTCAATCTTCATAACAGCCTGGTGAGGTTGTTCTCATTACTCTCCTCTGACAGATGAAGACACTGAGGCTCAGGGAGGCTGTCATCTGATCAGGCACACAGGGCAGCAAGAGATGCAGGCAGGACTCAAAGGTCCGTCTTTCCAACTGCGAAGCTCAAGTTGTTAATCCCCACAGTCTCTCCTCTAGAGACCGTGTCCTTCTTGTCTCTGCATCACCAGCCCCGCATGTAGGGCCTGGCGCACTGTGTATACAATCAATACTTAATGAACTGAACCAAGGCTGCTGCTAAACCAGTCGGCTCCCTCTAAAGACCTTTCAAAGAAAGGGCTGGGCAGCCTTTACCTCTTAATTCTTCAGCTTGGAAATGAAAGGTTTGATAAGTGCTTCCACTCACCATCGACAATTTAACTGTCAAAAATCAGAAGGAGGTGGAAGACTGGAAAACATTAAGGAGGATCTTCCCACCTGTTTTGGTGTCTGAGAAGCCTAATGTGAGCCCAGGAAAATACCAGACTCATAGCCTTAACGATTGTTGTTCAAAGGACAGGTGAACCCATTAATAAATCAGTGACCACTGCCTGCGCTTCATTCCTGCCTGGAGCAGGGACCTCAGGAAGGTGAAAAAGATAAAAAAATCACCAAGAACCATCTCACCAGCTTTACCCTCTATCCGCCAGAAGGGGGCGCCAACACATCGCACTGGAGTTTCCCCAAGGCACTTTCTATTTCAAGTTAGCACTTCAACAGTCCATTTCAAGAAGTTTCTAGCTGCAGACTCCCTGTAGTTTGTCACGTCCCTGGAGAAATGCTATTAGTTTTGGAAAGCCTTCCTACCCAGTGCCCCTTCCGGCAGCTCTGTTTTCTGAAGGAGGAGAAGAATGGTGTTAACCCGAGCAGAGGCCAGGCCGCGCTGCCCGCGTTTGTTATCTCACAGGTGCTCTGGGCCAAGATGCCCCCAGGATGCGAGAACAGCGACTCTCTTCCAAGGCTCCTGGAGGAAAGCCTCCCCAGACAGAACTAGCCGGGAAGCCCTGGTTCTAAACCTGGCTCTGCTAGGAACTCACACTATGACTTTGGACAAGTCTTATCTGTATAATGAAAGGACTGTAAAAATAATCCCTAATTAATTTCACAAACAACAGGGCAAAGACATTCTATCTGCTGTAACCACCTCAAACATAGGCTTGCATGCGTGCTCAGTCATGTCCGACTCTGCGACCCTACAGACTGTAGCCTACAGAGGAGCCAAACAGGTTTGGGCATCTCCAAACATACCAGCCAAGAATGCACCCTCTAGTGCCTACTCTAGTGCCTCCTTAGTCATCCCTGCCAGGTGTATTCCAGGATCAACTTAGAGATCATGAACAGGTACAAGCGCCAAGGAGCCCTTGGAAGGTGTAGGGCTGTCATACACATCACTGCATTGAAGCAAAAACACCATTTCACGTTTCCTGTTGGAGAGTAGAAGGCCAAGCTGTCCAGTTCAGCCGGTGCCCCTCAGCTCAAATAACTCCCCTGATACTTTTTCTCCCATACAATGATGATAACTGTATGCATCATTCATCCTTACAACAGCAAAAATGTTACCATGTCTTTACTTCTTCTAAGTGAGGAGGTAGGGTCCAGAGGGGCGAACTAATAAGCAAAAGAGCAAGGAGTGATGGAGCTGAGACTAAAACCTGTCTCCTAATGTCTGCCTCAACCCTCCTGCATTGTGCATCTCCCCAGAAAAGAAAGGAGGAGGCCATCTCCAGGGTGGACAACAGAACCCCAAGCACAGTGATCTCCTGGCTAAACAGACAGTTCCCTTCCTCGAGGAGAGAAAACTGTGCCTCCCCTCCAAGACCTGCAATCAGCTCCCTGCTCCACCATCCAACCTGCCCCATTTCTCTGAGCCCCTCAGAACTGGACAGGGGAATGTCTGTTCCCTTGCCTCCTTCTCTCCCCCAACTTCTCAATCAGGCGTGTGCATGTGTGTATATGTGCGCGCGCATGCCGGCCTGTGTGTGTGTGTCTGTGTCTGTGTATGTGATGGGTAAGAAGTTCAGGAGAAAGATGGGAAGCCACGAGGGAGAGGCATCAATGAAGGGGCACCATCCTTTTTTTTTTTCCCCCATTTATTTTTATTAGTTGGAGGCTAGTTACTTTACAAGGCACCATCTTTTTTTGTGACCTGGGACCACTCTTACTGGGGGACTCGGCAGAACAGGCCACACAGTGGCCCTGGCAATTTCTGATAGCCCAGGGCTCTTTAATAACTTCTTTACATCTGAAAAAACTATCACAGTATGTGAAGGGTTTTCACAGCCATTTCATTGAGTCTCACTAAAGCCCATGAAATACAAATCTCCCTGACAGACAAGGAAGCCCGGGCTCTGAGTTAAGTCACTAGCCTAAGCTCTCAATGCCAAGCAGTTCCCAGTCCTTTCTGCTTGGTTATGATGCTCTCTTTTAGAAAACTGCCGAGTAGTAAGATGGGCAGGTAAACCTTAACTTCAGTGTCATTTACCCCAAGAGGGAGCAGTAGGCATTGGAGGTAAAAGATCCTGGCCACAGGTACCAAATTAAATTAGAGACCACCTCCCCACTCTGCAGCCCTGTCTGCCTTGCTCCTGTCTATTCTTCATAGAACTGAACATGGCAATACCTTTCTCCTGCCTCCTTTCCTTCACCAACTTCCTAACAAGGAATGTAACACACACACACAAAATTCAAAACAGAGATGGGAAGATGCCAGGAAGAGGCGTTACATCAAGAGAGTCAATTTCAGTGAAAAACACATTCTTCCTCAGCAGACAGGAGGGTCACAGCATTTGAAGGCATCAGTCCAGAGGTTCCAAGTACCAAACATGAAGTACATCATTCTGCTGCAAGTCCTCTGTCTCAAGGGGTTAAAGCTTAGACACAAGTAAAATGCATGTCAACCAACTCTCTGTTTCAGAACTTGGCACTTTCTATGAGACTTGTTGAATGATAAAGTATTGAGATCTTATTAAAGCATTCAATGAGACTATGATTGTCTAGAGAAAATATTAAAGATCAAACAGTGCCAAAGATATATTAACTCCTGTTGCAAAGCCTGACCAACGGTCTGGCCATGTGCTATGTGGATATCTTCCTGTGGGCATCAATGACCTTAACATTCTTGGACTCAAAATTTTTAAAAAACCTATACCAGGCCTGGTTAAGACGATTGGCAGCAAATTTCGTACACAGTGTGTACAGAAATTAAAAAACCATATCTCCTTAGGATCAAAGGAAATGGACCTAACTTATGGGCATTTATGGGACAAGTTCTAGGATAAGTGCTTTATCTGTATTATTTTATCCTCAGAACAACTTTCTATGGCAACAGCTATCATACCCATGTTACAGATTAAGAGATTCAGAGAAGTTAGGTTCCCTGCCCAAGTTTACACAGCTGGTGAGTGATAGAGCTGATCTTTAACCTGGGTGTGTCTGACTCAAAAAGTACATGCTCTTCCTAAAAAGATACCCAAACACATTAACTTAAACATTGTTTTAAATGTTGTTCATCTTAAAGACAACTTCTCTTTTCTATTTTGATTTCATTCTCAAGTTCACCATCTGAGTATGTGCAAAAGCCCAGCAAAGGCATCCAGAGGTGGAACTCTCGGACCCCTGTTTCCCAGCCTTACGTGAAGACACTCATTCATCCCTACTTCCTCTAGCCAGATACCAAATCTCAACCAAACTTCAGAAATCAGGTAAAGTCAGAAAAAAAAAAGAAATTAGGTAAAGTCAGAGATTATAACCAAATTCTCATGACTATTATTTCTCATCCAGCAGAGCCTATTTAAAACAATATCTATTCCAGGGAGCCAGCTTTTAAAGAACCATGGTGTCTAACAGTTTGAGGTCTTAGCATGGCATCTAAAGCACACCAGAAGAGCATCGGAATGAGACCGTACCAAGCAGCCCACAGAAAGCAGCATGTGAAGCAACACAATCGTCACAATTGTGGCCAATGCGATGCGTCGGTTGTCCTCACGAACAGCTGGCCAAAAGGTCATTGCCAAGACAGAGCCAGAGATGCCTAGGGCAATCATAACTAGAACCCAGCGGACTGCTTTCTGGGGGATGATCCACAGTATCTGAAAGAAAAGGAGGGTCGGGAGGGTTTGTTCAGAGAGGCATTTGTTCATTCCAGGCCCATGTGCTCGTAAAGGCCCAGGAGCCCGTCAGCAGTGGAGCCCTAGCTGCCACTCGGGTTTCCCAGCACAGCCCAGAGAAATTCCACCCGCACGGAGACCGAGGGGAAAGCTTCCCTGATGAAGGGCCCAAGATCCAGGGAAGGCACTAGGCTCCCCGACCCCCATTCCCACAAAATTTCTAAATTCCAGGGGTATTTTTTCAGATGCACATTGGTATTAGGTTAGAAATAATGATGCCAGCTGAGTCATTGTGGCCTCACTCAGAGTAAGTGTGGTACTTACTGCCGTGGGGATGTAAATGAAGAGCGAATATCCATAGACGCATACAATCTCCAAAAATGAATAGGAAACGATGTTCATAACTTTACTGTTTCTCCATACAAGGAAACCCCAGAGTGCGAGAGGGACCAGCCAGGCGTAGGCATAGATGATTGTGGCTGCGATGGACACTGAGGGCGAGAAGTTACAAGTTGCAATTCCACTGTCACGGAACTTCTAGGACCCACTGGACTTACTTCCTGCAGGGCTGTCCATCTGCCTCACTGGGTCAGGGGATGATGTCTTCCTGGTTTCGGCCCCTGAGCCTGGCAAGGTACCCAATAAGCAGCAGGTGCTCGATAATGTGCTGAATCAATGTTCCTTCAGCATTTGCCTTTGTGATGATGACTAGTAGTCTCTCCTATGGCCTCTATAATTCACTTTATAACTAACAACTAATAGTATTAAACAACTGAATTATGTACTGAAATACTTCTGAGGACCACACTACAAGTATTTAAATACACGGAGCATTTCAATCAAATCAAAGTCGACTATCCCCTTGGAAGAACACGTCCTCTTTCCTAATGTAACAAAAGCTGACACTGATTTCTTTAGCAAATTTATGAAAATACCCTGGGAACAGATTAACTTGTTCCGTGTGCTATTTAGAGTTCCTTCTGTCTCTGAAACAGGGAGTTTCAGCTCATTGATGAATTGCTCAAACTATTCTCCAGTTCCACTTTCTTCTTTAAATAATTCTTGTCTCTGTGGTGGAAATGCTACCAAGTGACTCCTCAGAGCAGCAGTGTTCACTGCATCACTTACTGTCCGTCCCTCCTCCTTCCGAGCAGCAACACGCCCTGGAGGGTTCGGCTTCACTCTTCTGGAGTGGAGGGTCATAACTGTGGCTCAGTCCACAACACCAGCCCTTCCCACGTGAAAATCAGCAGGTAATCCATCAAATGCTCTCGGCAAGAACAAAAGCACTCCTAGCCACTATGGCCAGGCTCTGGGTAAGATATGTGATTGTCTAAAACATTCTCCAGCTCCCAGAGCAGTTTTTTCATATAAGTAATTCTGTCATTATGTCAAATGTAATTTTGCTGATCTACTGCCTTTTTCTTGAATAACGAAAGGAAGAGGAAAGAAACTGCTACTATGACTGCAGCTGTCCGCTGGGTGTCAGGCATTACACTGAGAGCTTTACTGAGAGGTGAGGCTGTGTAACAATCAGAGCTACAGACTGTATATACAGACTCTAATCCTACCTCTGCCCCTTGTTGTTTAGTCACTAAGTCATGTCTGATTCTTTGACACCTCATGGACTGTAGCCCGCCAGGCTGATCTGTCTCTGGGATTTCCCAGGCAAGAAATGCTGGAGTGGGTTGCCATTTTCTTCTTCAAGGGATCTTCCCAACCCAGGGGTTGAACCCAGATCTCCTACCAGGCAGGCGGATTCTTTACCACTGAACCACCTGGGAAGCCCAGCTCTGTCACTTATATTAATAGATGAGTAAGCCTGGGTGGTGAGTTACTTAACCTTCCTGCCTCAGTATCCTCATCTGTAAAATGGGAATCATAACAGTACACTACCTTATAAGACTATTAGAATTGAATGAGTAAAAACAGGTATATTTAGAACACTGACTGATAAATAATAAATGCCCAATCAAGAATAAACTTTTTATACTGTTAACTAATATATAAATACATTATTTCATATAAACTATATCTTTATTCTAGAGATGAGGAAATAAGATCAGAGAGCTAAGTGGTTTGGTTAGGGTCAAATAATGAATAAGCAGGGAAGCAGGATCTGACCTTGGATGTGTCACTTACACTCTTTACATAAAATGGAAAAATATTTACCGATTAAGTCAATGACGACCTTACTAGCATATATATCCCAGTATGGGATATATCTGACACTGGGATGCCCAGTCCAACAGGAATAAGAACAGACAAGGACCCCCGCCCCCTGCCCTCCCCGCTTCCCTTCCAGCTTCCACACCCCCAGGTAGGAGACTCACTCCTCTTCTCTGTCAATATACTTCTACAGACCTCTGATACAGAAATTAACACAAGCCATTCATTACAGCAATATCCATTACCTATTTTTCTTTACTTAACCACTGAACTACTTAAAGGCAGATTGATAGCTCATGGACAACAATGATTGAGTTAAATTTAAACCAAGGTCACTTGACAAATGGGAGTTGAGACTGACTCCATAATAGAAGAGAGAAGGGAAAACAGGCACGGAGAGTGGATGGGGAGGAAAGGAAGGCTACATGGACATACAGACAGGTAAATACATTATTCCGCAGACACACAGGTATGTGTACATACATATACAGCAACAGTTCATTTACCGAATTCTTTTTGTACAAGGCACTATTCTAACCTCTTTACAGACATCACTTCTTTATTCTTACAATAGCCCTATAACATAGATATTCTTATTCCCATTTCACTGGCAAGGAATCTGAGGTCAAGAGAGATGAAAGAATTTGCCCAACAAGGTAGAAGCTGGCAAGGAAAGATGGAGGCAGGAACCAATGGCTGGGTGCCCGAGCGCATGCCCTTCCACAGCTTCTCAACAGGAGAGCAGGCCGTCAGGGCCAGAGTGAGGGAAGGGGAGGACAGCGGAGGGGGCAAAGGCTAATCTCCTGCACAGGCAATACTCCTACCTTGGGTGGCTGTCATCTGCGAGTCCCTAAAAGCAGTTTTTTTGCCCCCAGCTATCCAATACTGCCACATGAAAGGAATTTTTATTTATTTTTTTGACTGCACTGCACAGTTTGTGGGATCTTAGTTCCCAACCAGGAATCAAAGTCAGGCCCCCAGCAGTGGAAGCACAGTATCCTAACCACTGGACCACCAGGAAAAGTCCCTAGAAAGGCAGTTTTAAAATAAGAATGTCACCCACAAGCCCATCCTCACTAGGACATTCTGACCTCTGCATTCTCCCTTCTGGGCCCTGACCGTCTGCAGACTTCTCTGTAACAAAACTGCTAACAGCACTGGCATAAGTTTGGATTATGAGTTCTCCACGTTGTTCTAAGTGCTTCATAATTAATGGCTACAAGACCTAGCTAGCTGAGTCATCATGCCTTAAATAACAAGGCCGACTGCTTCTAACAGTTGGATAATGCAAATAATGCTACAGTGGAGACTCTTCTACACACTGCTTTTTACTTATTTTGTACATTTTTCTGTGGAGACATTCTGATTGCCATGGGGCCTTGCCTTACAGTTTTCCAGAAGAGTACACAGATTCACAATATTGTGAATATACTTAATGCCACTGAATTGCACACGTAAAAATGGTTAAAATGGAACATTTTAGGTTATTTTAACAAAACAAAAGATAAAAAGCCTACGTGGATTTATATGGATGGATGATTAGTTTTGAACCCTTAGACAAGAAAATGGGCTGCAGGACCTACAGACGGGGGTCCAAGAGCTCAGTTACCAACTGAGAGCATTCCAGGTAAGTCAAGCGATTCACCAACCTTTTCGGAATTCGGGCACATAGTGGTACGTCTTCTCTCCCAGATGGATTAAGAAGTTGGAAAGATTCCCACTGATCGCTATGGCAAAGACCAATGTGGCACAGATCCAAAAGGGGCCTGCAGAGCAAACCAGAAAATTCAGACAAGAAAATGATGAACCAGCTTCATGGAAGCAATGGAAAATGAAGTTTAGATGGAATCAGTACTCGTTAAGTGGGAATTTTCTTTTTAAAAGGTCAAATACACAACTCAGTAATTAGCTGCCTTAAAGACAGTGGGGATTGAAATGCACAGAACAAAACACCTTCCCCAATTAGCTGAATGAAGACACTGATTTATTTATGTATCTCTTATTGGAAGAGCATCCAAAAAAATTCATGGGCATTTTGTTAAACCTTCACAGGTTTAACAAACCTGTGGAGGATACAGGAAGCAAAGGTCACTTCCTTTACATAAGTATCAAATGTTAATGCCAGAGAAAAAAATAATTAAAATTATATAGGTCCTTTGTTGTCTAAACAGAAGAGCAGGGCAAGAGTTCATTTAAGGAAACAGTTCATTTTAGGAAAGAGTTCATTTAATCTAACAAATCACCATGGGTATCTGTGTGTGTGAGTGCGTATGTAAGCCTTCTTTTTTTCTTTTTTTTTTTTTTTTATGAAAAAGTAATACACACGCATAGTTCATTATTCAAAAGGCACAGAAGGGGATACAGAGAAAATTAACCTTCTTTCCTCTCTGCTCCCTAGCTATGCATTCTCCTCCACAGAACTCACCAGCATAACCAGTTTCTGGTGAACCCCGCCAGAGATTTCTATACACATAAAAGCAAATGCATATTTGTGTGTGTGCTTTAAAGAAATGCTAACATGCATATGTATTTCCACCTTATCATGTCCTAGAGATTTTACTATAGCTATTTATAAGTCACTTCAGTCGTGTCTGACTCTATGCGACCCTATTGACTGTAGCCCACCCGGCTCCTCTGTCCATGTAATTCTCCAGGGATGAATACTAGAGTGGGTTGTCATGCCCTCTTCCAGGGGATCTTCCCAACCCAGGGACTGAACCCATGTCTCTTATGTCTTCTGCACTGGCAGGCAGATTCTTTACCACTAGTGCCACCTGGGAAGCCCATAAAATTCAGCTTATTCTTTTTAATGATAAAATATTCCACTGAGTGGATGAGTACACCATGCTTTAGAAGTCCCTTTCATCATTTTGCTTGATTTCACTCTTGTTTCTCCCCATCTAGAAAAAGGACTATTTGAACAAATACAATTCATAAATCTAGAGATTTTAATAAATTTTATGAATTTCGTTTTTCAATTTCAGTAATATTCTGTAGGGTTGGTTTTTGTTTTTTTTTTTGGATAATTGTAGGCACCTTGACATATCACAAAATTAAGAAAATTACTGTGCTGGGGGAGATGACTGGCAGAAATAGATGGGCACTTTTTGAGGTCAAGTTGGTTCCTGAAGGTGGGAAAGGATGCACAACAAGCATTTGACTGGGAAGCTCCAAAGAGTCACCAACATCAGCTTCCCAAGTAGTGTCATTGACTCACTGGCCTGCGGGCGTTCTGTTACAGCCAAGGATCAGATCCTGTTCACTGCAGTATTCTGCATGCCTAGCACATAAACAGTGTAACAACAACCAAAAAAAAAACCCTTACAACCAGTAACAATAATTTAAAAATCCCCCAAAGCTTTATTGAACAAATGAACAAAACTAACCATGTGTTAGTGATGGGCTGAGACCACCGAGGCAGGCGACCACAAGCGGTCAGAATATTCTAGCACTCGTAACTAGGAAGGAGACTCTCCTGTCGGCCGTTATTTACTAACGACCCCCGTTCCTCTGGGCCCTGGTGCTGGGGACACAGTGATGTGTGACAGCCACGGCCACTGCCTCTGCTGCACTCAGGCACACAGGAAGCGTGGCCTCCAGAGACACACACCACCTGCTCCTCCCAGGCCTGCCACGAGGCTTCACACTGCCTTCTCTCTTCCTCATGCCTGCCAAATTCCTACTCCAATTATGTGGTGGGGTGGGAGGAAGCGTTAACTTAGTTTGCTATTGTGCATTTTTATATTATCAAATATTTCTAACAGAAAAGCCCAGAGAATGATAAAACAAACACTGATGCACTCATCATGCTTATTTTTCAAATCTTTCTAATGCTGTCATACTACTCATATCCTCCAACATGCTTCTTTTCATTTACTAATAACGTTCTGAGATGTGTCCTTGTTGATGCTCATAGATCAAATCCATTTCTAAAACCTACAGAAATCTGTATATGAACACACCATATTTACTTTGGTCATTTCAAAATATTTGCTAATTACAAGCAATGTGGAGGCAATGAAGAATAATACTCTTCTATATGTCTTCTTATTTACCTAGGAGGAGAACTGCTAAGGTGTAGGGCTAGAGCATCTTAAGACTGCTCCAATTTGTGGTACCAGTTACATACCCATCCACATTTTACACAAGGTCCCACGGCTCCATATCCTTGGCAACACTTGATACCAATGTTTATGAAAAGCTGACTTAAGAGTTATAGCTCCTCTCTGTTTAGACACTTCAATGGCATCTCATTCAAGCAAAAGTCCCTCTGACCTCATCTACTAGATGCCCTTGTTCACTCCAGCCCAGTCACACTAGTGTCTTCACTGTTCTTTGAGCACATGAGGCAAGTTCTTGCCTTAAGGCCTTTGCACATGCTGAGCTCTCTTTCCCATATTATTTATTTATTTGGCTGTGCTGGGTCATAGTTACGGATGTGGGCTCTAATTCACTGAACAGGGATCAAAGTGGGGCCCCTGCATTGGGAACACAAAGTCTCAGCCACTGGACCATCAGAGAGGTCCCAGAACTCTTTTTCAAATGCTCTTCTCTGAGATACTTACTTGTATTGCTCCCAACTCCTTCAGGTGTTTACTCAGAATTCACCTTTTAACATTTTTAAAAATTTCAAATCCACCCGCCTACATAAACATTTACTATCTTTCTTCTCGGCTTTAAATTCTTACGTTAGCATTTATCACTAGCACACTGTGTATTTTACCTATTTTCTTTGTTTATTGTTAAACTTAGATTATAAACTGCCCCTGGGCAGGGATTTTTGTCTGTTTTTATTACTGCTGTACCTCCAGTGCCTAGAATAGTAAGTGCTTCATATTTGTTGAGTTAATTGAATGAATGAATGAATGAAGACAAGCCAAGCTGTATGATGGCTAAATAGATGCACATAAATGATATCCTGTTTTAATTTCCCTGATTACAGGCATGTGCTAAGTCACGTCAGTGGTGTTTGATTCTTTGCAACCGTATGGACTGTTGCCCACCAGGCTCCTCTGTCCATGGGGTTCTCCAAGCAAGAATACTTAAGTTGTCATGCCCTCCTGCAGAGGATCTTCACAACCCAGGGATCAAATCTGCATCTCTTAGGTCTCCTGCATTGGCAGACAGGTTCTTTACCACTAGTGCCACCTGGGAAGCCCTATTACAGATATAGCTAAGCATTTTTTCATGTATTTATTGGCCATTTGGGTTTCCTTTTCTGTTGCTTATTTTTTGCTAGAACTTGTAATTGGTTTTACTCTTATAATCAGTAGGCACTCTACATGGATTCTTGACTTTTATCTTTTGTGAGTTATGTGCTCTGAAACATTATCTTTGGTCTGTGGTTAATTTTTACCTTGTTTATGGTTTATTTTGTGGTGTAGAAATTTTAAATTTTGGTGTAAATGTAGTCAAATTCATTCATCTTTCCCTCAGATCCTGCAGACTGGCTCTTCTGTTATCTTGCTCCTGATCACCTTCCTCCAACCCACCCCACAAGGTCAGCCCTCTCTATTAAAAAACTTTCTTTTTTCTAGTTGTACTTTTTTTTTGTTGTTGTTGCACTATGTGGCATGCGGGGTCTTCCCTGATCAGGGATCAAACCTGTGTCGCCTGCATTGGGAGTACAGAGTTTTAACCACTGGACTGCCAGAGAAATCCTGTACTTTCTTTTTTTAAGCATGTCTATGCACTCATGCGGGCTTTCCCAGTGGCTCAGGCGGTAAAGAACCTGCCTGACAATGCAGGAGACGCAGGTTCGATTCCTGGGTCTGGAAGATCCCCTGGAGGAGGAAATGACAACCCACTCCAGTATTCTTGCCTGGAGAATCCTGTGGAGAGAAGAGACTGTTGGGCTACAGTCTGTAGAGTCGCAAGGAGTCAGACAAGACTTAGCAACTAAAACAACATGAATTCATGAGGTTAACAGAGCTGTGGAAAGAAGAATGTTTTAGGATCATAGGTGAGTGGAAAGGAGACTTTCCTCAGCATCCATTAGAGCAGTTCCACTTTAACCTAACATCCATAACAGTTGATGAAAAGTTTCTGGAGCTTAAAAACATCAGTTTAATAGAATAAGTAGGGGCTTTATATTAACACTAAACCAGGTGCTGCAAGTGTGTGTAGTTTCGCTTCAGTCGTGTCCAACTCCTTGCGGCCTCATGGACTGTAGCCCACCAGGTTCTTCTGTCCACGGAATTCTCCAGGCAAGAATACTGGAGTGGGTTACCAAGTCCTCCTCCAGGGGATCTTCCTGATCCAGGGATCAAACTCACATCTCTTATGTCTCCTGCATTGGCACCACTTAGGAAGCCCAAACTAGGTGCCAGTTCTACTTTAACTATTTATAATAAATAGTTGATTTATTACATAATATTACATAAGTTCCAAGTGTACATAGTGAGTCATAATTTTTAAAAATTATATTCCATTTCTAGTTATTATAAAATATTAGCTATATTCCCTGTGCTGCATCTTTATAGCTTATTTATTTTATATGTAAGCAGCTTGTACCTCTTAACCCTCTACCCCTATCTTGCCCCTCCTCCCTTCTCTCTCCCCACTGGTAACTATTGGTTTGTTCTCTATATCTGTGAATTTGTTTCTTTTCTGTTAGATTCACCAGTTTCAGTTCTTATATTCCACATATAAGTGAAATCATACAGCATGTATTTTTCTGTCTGACTTATTGAACTAAAGTATAATACCCTCCCAGTTCATCCATAATGTTGCTAATGGGAGTTCTTAGTTTGACAACTTCTAACCTTAGTTTTCTCAAATGGAAAACAGAGATAATAGCACTTAATACACTGCCCTCTTGAAAGGATTAGAGTGTATGTACTGATTGGTACACAACAGATTCTCATGAATTCCTTTTCCTCTTATAATCAACATGTATCATTGTTCTAATACTTACTGTATAGGGTTGAACATATAAATTACTGAACCCCACTGAGCATCAGGTTCTTCATTACAAAAATGGGGATAATAACGCCTACCTCAAAGATCGTTGAAAGAATTAGCTGTGCCCATGTACACCAAGTCTTGCATAGAGCATCTGCACACAGAGGCACTCAGAGTCTCTGGCTCTCTTCTCCCCTCAAACACAGAGGTCACCAGTGTTGGAACCCTTCCCCTCAGAAGCACTGGATGGACCTCTGACCCCTCCTCAGACAGCAGGGAGATTGGGATGACACCAATCCCCAGGCTCATCCCCTTACAAACTCCCAAGGGGCAGCCAGCCTGTCTGAGGGGCAGAGCTAGAACTCAGCACATCAATGAATAAGTGTAAGACAGCCTCCTCCACACTCACCCCAACCACCAAATCCTCTAAAATTAAAATCAATAATCTCCTCTATATGAAGTGACTTAATTTGTCTCAAGTTTGTAATGTCATTTGAAGACTTTCAAAGGACACACTATTCTTGTCATCATGGCATTAATCAAACATGTAATTGCATTTTCTCCAACATTCTTTGCAAGAGCTGCTACTGAAGCTCAGAAGAGACAAATAAAACGCTCGTGCCCCACCAACAGTGTGCTTTGCCAGCTTTCGAGGCAACCCACACCCTCATCTGTGTTTAGCCAGTACATGAAAAAGAACCAAAACAGTGCTACACGTACGTACCATAGAGATCTGGATTGCTGCGGATATACAACCTTACAAAGTTTTTTCCTGGTATTGGCAAAAGAGACCCCTTTATTCTATCAAAGACCTGCAAAACAGCATAGTGGTAAGTCTACAGATGATTTTTTTTCTTAAAGTTTAGTAAAGTTTAACTGCTGCAAAATTGGAACAGTTATTAGAGCTTTTATTATTTATTATCTTTTTATTATTTCATTTAGTATTTTCAAGTGCCAATAACCCTTTACTTTTGCAGACCATATCCAGTATGCAATACCTTTCACATTACCTGACTGTTTAACAGCAGAAGAAATAAGTCTGCATTATACATCAAAAGAAAGGTGAAACTGGTTTACAGACCTGGTACGTGTCTACATCAAAGAACGTCTGATAGTATTCAAATGTCCAGAAGGGGGAGCTTTTCTTCTGTCCAGCAAGTAACTGTCAGAGGTAAAATAAAACATAATAAAGACAGAAGTAATTTCCTTATTCTAGCTACCCAGACAGAGAAAGAGAGAGGATCTAAGAGAAACTCAAGAAATAGGAAAGACCAAACTCTTCTACATTCATCCATCACTTTTACCATAGCCACACCCAATTCTTCAGTTCAGTTCAGTTCAGTTCAGTCGCTCAGTCGTGTCCGACTCTTTGCGACCCCATGAATCTCAGCACGCCAGGCCTCCCTGTCCATCACCAACTCCCAGAGTTTACTCAAACTCATGTCCATCGAGTCGCTGATGCCATCCAGCCATCTCATCCTCTGTCGTCCCCTTCTCCTCCTGCCCCTAATCCCTCCCAGCATCAGGGTCTTTTCCAATGAGTCAACTCTTCGCATGAGGTGGCCAAAGTACTGGAGTTTCAGCTTCAGCATCAGTCCTTGCAATGAACACCCAGGACTGATCTCCTTTAGGATGGACTGGCTGGATCTCCTTGCAGTCCAAGGGACTCTCAATTCTTAGCCTGACATGAAATGAGCATCAGCTTTGAAGTCTTATCAAAAGGTTTTAAATCCTGGTCCCTCCACTAGGGGGCAGCTTCATCAAATCACTAGACTCATCTCAGTCTTCCTAATCTAAAAAGTATAGCTAACATATCTGCCTTTTAGGGTTATAGGGAGGATTAGATTAATTATTGGGGCTTCTCCAGCAGCTCAGTTGGTAAGGAATCCACCTGCCAATGCAGTAAATATAAATTTAATCCCTGGGTTGGGAAGATCCCCTGGAGGTGGAAAGGGCAAACCATTCTGGTACTCTTGCATGGGAAATCCCATAGACGGAGGAGCCTGGTGGGCTACAGTCCATGGGGTCGCAAAGAGTTAGACATGACTTAGCAGCTAAACAACAACTCTAGTACAGAAGCACTCAGAATGCCTCAGTTTAAAGTTCCATCTGCACCTGCCAGTTGCATGTCCTGGGGCAAGTCACTTAAAACTCTGTGCCTCGGGTTTCTCATTTATAAAATGAATATATGATTGCTTCCTGGCCTTTGGGCTAAAATCAAGTATAAAATGAGTATAAGAATAGTTCCTTGCATAGTGGGTTGTTTTGATTATGATTGTTTTGAGATGATCCAAGTGAAGAACTTTACATGGTATTTGGCAGCTATTAAACACTGAACGCTGCTGCCACTGCTGCTGAGTCGCTTCAGTTGTGTCCGACTCCTCGTGACCTCATGGACTGCAGCCCACCAGGCTCCCCCGTCCCTGGGATTCTCCAGGCAAGAGTACTGGAGTGGGGTGCCATTTCCTTCTCCAATGCATGAAAGTGAAAAGTGAAAGTGAAGTTGCTTAGTGGTGTCCGACTCCTCGCGACCCCATGGATTGCAGCCCACCAGGCCCCTCCGTCCCTGGGATTCTCCAGGCAAGAGTACTGGAGTGGGGTGCCATTTCCTTCTCCAATGCATGAAAGTGAAAAGTGAAAGTGAAGTTGCTTAGTGGTGTCCGACTCCTCGCCATCCCATGGATTGCAGCCCACCAGGCTCCCCCGTCCCTGGGATTCTCCAGGCAAGAGTACTGGAGTGGGGTGCCATTTCCTTCTCCAATGCGTGAAAGTGAAAAGTGAAAGTGAAGTTGCTTAGTGGTGTCCGACTCCTCGCCATCCCATGGATTGCAGCCCACCAGGCTCCCCCGTCCCTGGGATTCTCCAGGCAAGAGTACTGGAGTGGGGTGCCATTTCCTTCTCCAATGCATGAAAGTGAAAAGTGAAAGTGAAGTTGCTTAGTGGTGTCCGACTCCTCGCCATCCCATGGATTGCAGCCCACCAGGCTCCCCCGTCCCTGGGATTCTCCAGGCAAGAGTACTGGAGTGGGGTGCCATTTCCTTCTCCAATGCATGAAAGTGAAAAGTGAAAGTGAAGTTGCTTAGTGGTGTCCGACTCCTCGCGACCCCATGGATTGCAGCCCACCAGGCCCCTCCGTCCCTGGGATTCTCCAGGCAAGAGTACTGGAGTGGGGTGCCATCGCCTTCTCCGTAAACACTGAATAAATGTCAGCTATTATGATTATAATGATGACAAGAGTCAATATATTACTTTCAGATAAGGAAATCCAGGCTTAGGGAAATTAAAATATCTTACCCAAGACCACAGAGCTATTCCTACTGGCCAGACCGGGAATCAAACTCAGGCTCCTAAGTCTGAGCTCTTGCAGTAATATCTAGTATAAAGTGGTATTTAATCTGGCATAAACTTTGGTACGTATTTTGATATTTCATGGAGTTCCACAAGGCACACCTGGCGCCCCACTATTGCATAAGCCTGCGAACACACCGCTGTAAGTCGAGCACTCCTCTAGTGAATCACAAGCATGATCCACTTATAAAATATTACTAGAAATACTACTGGGTGGCCAAAAAGTTCCTGGCACACAGGAAACTGCGATAAATGCATGGACAAGGTTTTTAAAAGTTAAAAGAAAAAAAAAATTCAAACACAAGTCCAAACCTCAGTTTTGTCAGAGTCATCGTTTCCTAGTAACTCATCATCTTCTTCTCTCCCCAAGCCTCTTGGGGGTCCTGCCCTATGCTTCGGGGTTTCACCAGGATCCTCAATGCTGATTGTGGTGGCATCTGGGTTTGCTGCTAGAGAAGTGGTTGTATCACCAAATTCTGAAATCAATTAGAGCACAAGGGTATCAGAGACCTTACTATTAATTTCAAGTCGAGCTGTTACAACCTTAGCTTTGCTATAGACCCTATTTGAGAGAAATGGCAAAAGACTCTGAAAAAAATCTCATAGAAAACAAACTGACACAGAAAAATGATTATAAAGACAACAGAATTTGAAGTCAGACCTGAATTGTAGTCCTGGTTAAATTACTAAGTATTCAAGCCTGAGTAAGTAACTTAACCTTGATAAGCTTCAGTGCCCCCCTCTCTTCCATAGGGAGAATAATATTTACAGAATTGGGGAAAAATTAGGAGTATTACCATAAGTAAGTCCTTAGCAGAGTGCCTAGCCCATAGCAAGTAACCAACCTAACTCTCTCTTCTTTGATTCAAGTTCAAAAAAAAATTTAATGGAAGTTATTTTTTTCCAGTAAGTCCTATGTGATCACTACAGGAAACATGGAAACAAAAATGAAAGTAGAAACGACAGAATAAAAATCACTCTTGGTGCGTGCGTACTTAGTCACTTCAGCTGTGCCTGCCTCTGTGCGATGCTATGAACTGTAGCTTGCCAGGCTCCTCTGTCCACGGGGTTCTCCAAGGCAAGAATACTGGAGTGGGTTGCCATGACTTCCTCCAGGGGATCTTCCTGACCCAGGGATCAAACTCATTGCGACTCCTGTGTCTTCTGCATTGCAGCCAGGTTTTTTTACCACTGAGCCACCCAGGAAGCCCCCCAAAATCACTCTTAGTCCCACCCATATAAAACTAACACTATTAACTTTTGGTATATTTCCTTTTCTCTGTACAGTAGATTCATACCAGTGATGATCATTCATTCAACAAATATTTACTATAAGCATACAATTGCCAAGTATTGACTTAGGATGTGATGGCATACTATGTAAACAATTTTGGATGCTGCTCTGTCTACTGGGGATTATACAAAAATGCCTTTTTCATGTTATATCAGTCTTTACAATGAACATTTATGTGTCTACATAGTAGTCATTGAGCTGGAGGTGGAAGATTAGGAGAGAGACACCGCAAGTTAATACAACTATTCCACTGCTATTGGATGTTTAGGTTGCTTCCCACTTTTATTAGAACAAGTAACACTGTTAAGAGTATCTGTGCAGAGAAAGTTTTGGGGCTTATTGCCTTAGTATGAACACTATCTTAAAGAGATGGGAATACCAGACCACCTTACCTGCCTCCTGTGCAACCTGTATGCAGGTCAAGAAGCAACAGTTAGAATCAGACACGGAACAACAGACTGGTTCCAAATTGGGAAAGGAGTACGCCAAGGCTGTATATTGTCACCCTGCTTATTTAACTTACATGCAGAGTACATCACAAGAAATGCTGGGCTGGATGAAGCACAAGCTGGAATCAAGATTGCTGGGAGGAATATCAATAATCTCAGATATGCTGATGACACCACCCTTATGGCAGAAAGCGAAGAGGAATTAAAGAGCCACTTGATGAAGGTGAAAGAGGAGAATGAAAAAAACCTGTCTTAAAACTCAACAGTCAAAAAACTAAGATCATGGCATCTGGTCCCATCATATGGCAAATAGATGGGAAAACAACAGAAACAGTGACAAACTTTATTTTCTTGGGCTCAAAAATCACTACAGATGGTGACTGCAGCCACGAAATTAAAAGACACTTGCTCCTTGGAAGAAAAGCTATGACAAACCTAGACAGCATATTAAAATGCAGGGACATTACTTTGCCAACAAAGGTCCTTATAATCAAAGCTATGGTTTTCCAGTAGTCATGTATAGATGTGAGAGTTGGACCATAAAGAAGCTTGAAAGCCACAGATTTGATGCTTATGAACTGTGGTGTTGGAGAAGACTCTTGAGAGTCCCTTGGACTGCAAGGAGATCAAACCAGTCAATCCTAAAGGAAATCAATCCTGTATATTCATTAGAAGGTTAAACCTGAAGCTCCAATACTTTGGCCACCTGATGTGAAGGGTTGATTGATTAGAAAAGACCCTGATGCTGGGAAAGACTGAAGGCATGAGGAGAAGAGGACAACAGAGGATCAGATGGTTGGATGGCATCACCGACTCAATGGACAGGAGTTTGAGCAAGCTCCGGGAGGACAGGAAAGCCTGGTGTGCTGTACTCCATGGGGTCGCAAAGAGTCAGACATGACTGAGTGACTGAACAACAATGAACATTATCAGCGGGATCACTAGGTCAACGGGTACAAATCATTTTTAAGGCTCTTGAGCCCTATTGCTAAACTGCTCTCCAAAAGAACCTTGCCCATTCATGTCCACCAGCAATGGTCATGACTTCCTATCTCTGGGCATCCTAACAAACTTTATCTAGCCACTCAGATAAAATTCAGGGTAGCTGTGGAATTTGACAGGACTGAGGAAAAGTTAGGAAGACCCCCTGGAGAAGGAAATGACAACCCACCCCAGTATTCTTGCCTGAGAAATCCCTTGGACGGAGGAGACTGGCAGGCTACAGTCCATGGGGTTGCAAAAGAGTCAGACAAACCTTGGCAACTAAACAGCAACAACAACAAAAGGAAGGGTATCAACAGGGTACCACTCTAACACTACAAGCATGGCAGCAGGATGGGGCTCTTGTATAACTGAGCCCAATCTTATTGCCTTTCAGCTATGCAAATAGTTTTGTGGAGAGAAATACAGTGACTGAAATGAATGAGGTGGCTGATATATAACAATTACTTGAGTTTTGGTCTCCAGTGTTTTGGCAGCATGAGGCTCTGGAGTGAGACAGTCCTTTGTTTGAGATAAACTAGCACTCCATGACCTTGGGCAAATTACTCCATATCTCTGAGTCTGGGTTTCTTCAACTATAAAATGTAGATAATACTTATCTCACAGAGATTTTGAGGATCATATGAGATAATAATAAATATTTTCACAGCCATCATTTATTGACTGGGCAGGGCACTGACATTTTAAAAAATGGTTATAGCTTTGCCTGAGAGAATCAGACCAAGGAAGATACATTTAAGTCTCATATTTAAAAAGCAGCAGTTTACCAGGGGAAGAACACGCCAGAAGGAGGAACGAAAACTGTCACTTTAGAGTACCAGGTCCAAAGAAGTTCAAGGGAGAGAGATAACTCATCTAGCTGCCCTATGAGAAAGATGGCCAGAAGCAGTGGGGACAGCATCTGATGCCAAGGGGTATAGGATCAGCAAGACCCAGAGATGAAAAATGTGTCCCGTGTGTGAAGAATAGCAGACGGCCTAGCTTGATTTGAATGTAAGATATGTGTACCTCGCCCATGATGACTGTTCACACATTCTGCTCTGTAGTAGTTATTCTTGTCCATTTCAGCTCCTTGAGGGCAAGATGGGTGTGTTTCTTATTTCCGCCACCAACATTACCAACTTCTACATTTTTTGCTATGTTTTGCCTCTGCTCCTTTCCTGACACAATGTCTCCCATCTGCAGGACCCTGACCTCCACTTTTTCATTTAACACCATTCTTCCTCGGAGAAGCTTTCCATGACCCCCACAGCATCCTGTGTTCTCTAAACAGCAAAGTCTAACATGGTTTATTAAGTCCTGTGTGACTTAGCTTCTGCCTCCCCTCAAATCTGACCTTATGACAGCCTCCCCCACCATCTGGGCTCTGGTACATTGGCCTTGTGTTAATTCCTTGGGGAAAAAAATGAAACAAACTCCCACTCTTCTCAAGTACTATGCACATGCTGTTCTTTACACTGGAACTTTCATGCCCTGTACTCCCAGATAGGATGACCAAGGAAGGCCTCTGGAATGATGTGAGATTTGAGCAGAGCAAGGGAACGAGTCATATGGCTATCTGCAGTAAGAATGCCCTAGGCAGGAAGATGGCACAAAAGCCCTAAGGGTACCTGGTGTCTAGGAGGGACAGTGATGAGGCCCATGTGGGGAGGCAGAAAGAAAGGGCTAGAGTACTGTAAAATGAAATCAGAGGCAGAGAAGGCCTGGATCACGAGGCCTCCTAAGCTCAGAAAGGGCTCTGCCTTCCACTCCCAGTGAGATGGAGCCACTGAAAGGTTTTGGGGGAATGGCATGATCTGACTTGGTTTTAAAGGACTACTCTGGATGCAAAATAAAGACTGCAGAAAGGTAAGGGAAGATGCGGGAAGATCTGAAGGAAGCAAAGGGCTATAATCCAGACATGAGGTGATGATGACCTTGAGCATGGTAGGAGAATGGCAGAGGTGGTAAGCACTGGTCAGGTGCTGGATGTATTTTGAAGACAGTGTTGACAGTATTGGCTGATAAAGTAGATTTTGCTTCAAACATCTTTTCTTTTCCTTAGGTAGGAGTAAGATAGCATAGGTTGTGATGCCTGGGTTCAAACTCTTCTTTACCACTTACTATAACCTTTAGGCAAATGACCTAATTTTTCTGTACCTTAATTTCCCCATTGGTAAAATAGGGAGAGTAAAATAACTACTTCATAAAGCTGACATAAGGATGAAAGGATTATTTGTAAAGCACTTAGAACAGTTTCTGCTATTTAGGAAATACTATGGGCTTCCCCGGAGGCTCAGACGGTAAAGAATATATCTGCAATGTGGTAGATTCAAGTTCGATCCCTGTGTCAGGAAGATCCCCTGCAGAAGGGAATAGCAAACCACACCAGTATTCCTGCCTGGAGAATTCCATCGACAGAGGAGCCTGGAGGGCTATAGTCCATGGGGACACAGTGTCGGACTCAACTGAGTGCACACACAAACGCACACAAACGCGTGCACACAAGTGATTACAAGGCAAAATGAGCATTCATCAATCCCTAGCTCATGTCAGGCTCTGGGCTGAGTTATGACCTTTTTTTTCAGTACTTTAATAGTTTGTAGATATGTATTTAAAAGATCATTTAACAAAAGAATGTCTCCCTCACTAGACTGAGGGCTTCATGAAGGAAGACACTGACTATTCACTCTTCCACCCTGATAATGAGAACAATGGTCACACTCATGAAAGACTTATTGATTTAATGAAGGAATGACCTGATTATGTTTCATCATAATAATCCTTTTATACTTTCATCTACTCAGGAGTGTAAAAAAAAAAATCCCCTTTATCTGTTGATCTTCTGTATCTAGTAGAGTTCTAAGCACAAATAGGTGCTCAATAAATGCCTGTTTAACTAAGGCAGGAACTCTATAAACAATTTCTGTAATCCGCACTAAATTTATGATATTCCCAATCTAAAGGGCTATTTGGCAAAAAAGAACCACTAACACGAACAAATGGAATAACCTGCTGTGGCAAACATTCTTTTATGAAGATGTCTGAAATAATCTTCTTTAATATATGTGCCAGTATACCAACCAAAATCCATTGCTTTTACTACAGAAAGGCTAATCATAAAAGGTGGACACTCAAATGATGTACCTTCAAACTGCAAGTCATCTACCGTTGCCATTCAGTCAGTGGGTCGTCTCCCAATTATTAGGAAGATAATTTGCAGAGGTCTAAAAGGAAAAAATAAATACACTTCATAGGATACCATAATAAAATATCTGCAAACAAATCTTATTTTAGGGTTAGAAATGGTGTTGCTTTCCCTTGTGTCCTTTCTTAGTGGAATTTGATAGGTTTATAAAAAGATAACCATTTAGCATCAGATACTATCAAAAATGTTATAAAGAAACTATGGCGGGGGGGCCCGGGTGGTGACGAACAGGGGTCCATTGATTCCATCCAATCTCACTTACAACGTGGGTGTTTAAGGGCAGAGTGCAGCCTGGAGATGGAAGGATGAGAAAGGGGAGGCAGGGATTTGACAGAGATGGCTATGAGGGCAGTGAACAGCAAAGGCCGTCAGCCTAGCCAGTGGTTAGGGCACAGGTTCTGGGGTTGGACAGACTTGGGTTTGAGTCCTGATTCTGCTGCTACTGGCTATTTTGACTATGGGCTCCTCAGGATCTTAGTTTCCTCATCTGTAAAATGGGTTTAGAATTGTACCTACTCACACCATGTTGGATGCCATTAACTGAGACAAGAGAGCGTGAGGCGCTTAGTGCACGGCGAAGCAATTAGTAGGCATTGGAGTGATGGGAACCCTGCAGCCTGGGGCCCCCTGAACCCAGGATGGTCTGGGAAAGAGCTGCCCAAGACGCACGGGCAGTGTTTTAGGAGGAGGAGCTGGGCCGCAGCGACCCAGGTGGATAGATCCCAGGGCTTTTCAGTCCCGGGCCGGCCCCGCAGACCCCGCTGCCTCACCTCGGGGGCGCTCGGAGTCCAACCTGTCTGGGTAAGCCTGGGGCCTCAGATTCTAGGCGCAAGTTCTGGTCCCAGCGAGTTGCCGGAAACCGGAGATCCGGGGGGCAAAACTTCTCCACCTCCTCCGGGCAGAGCTCCGCCCCCTTAAAGAGACATCAGCTCCCGGAGCATCACTTCCCGAGACCTCAACAAGCAGCACCATCCTCAGCTCGCTCCCTCCGCCACCCACCTAAGGGCGAAGATCGGGTTCTTAAAGAGGCAGGTGGAACGGGGCGGAGCGATGGGGATGCTGAGAGGGTCTGCTTTGGCTCACCTCGCTCCCAGGGTCAGGGGTAGGGGGAGCAGAGAATTCTCTAGAGTGGGGTTTACTTTATATTTGGTTATATCTCTTTTCTTATTGAAATACAGAACAGCTTAAGGAAAGACGATTGTAAAAAGGAAAAAATACCATCAATCCTCCCATTCTTGGCCGTTCTTTAAAAAAACTATTTATTTACTTATTTTAAAAAGTGTAATTAACCAGGGAGGGAGATGCAAGTCAATTACTTTTTGAGTGATTGAATGCCCATGATCTGGGTCAGAAGGATGTCTGTTCATAGAGACACCTCCGCATGTGTGTAATTTGTTTCTTCACTCCTGCATTGGTCTTCCTTACGGTCTCTGGGCAGTGAGTGAGAGGTGGGTAGGGATTGGCCTCTGTTACCGCTGTGTCCCCCGCACAGCATCTGATCAATGCCTTGACTACCACAGGAGCCCAGGAAGTGACGAAGTTGCGCTGAGTGACCTGATGAGAAACATTTTGCCCCTGCTGCCAGTGTTTGCCTGGTTAACACCTACACATCCCTCAAATGTGGGGACAGTTTGCTTCTCCTAGGGAAAGGCCTTCTTCGCCTCCCAGGATTTCTTCTGCTCTCATAGTGCCCTGTATTTGCCTAAACCTCAGCAGTTGCAATTATTTGCCCATCTTTGCGGGCCTGTGAGTGATTTGCAGGGAAGGATCAGGAATGATTCTCGTCTCTGGGTCCTCGCGGCAGCCCAAAACCAGGGACACGATATCTGCTCACCAAAGGTTAATTGTAGAGTGATCGCCTTTTGACTATCTTAGCGGCATAAGCCAACATCACTGCCCACACAAGGTGGAAGCTGTGACTCTAGCCTCACTACAGTGGGCCTTCACAATCCATTAGAATGACTTACGTCTGACTGATGGGCTTCTCAGGTGTCACTCGTGGTAAAGAACCGGCCTGCCAATGCAGGAGACATAAAAGACACAGATTTGATCCCTGGGTCAGGAAGATCCTGACTAATGAAATAATTATACACACACTGTATTTACTGGACTAACCTTGTGATCAGGCTTTATACGTGCAGCTCTTTAATTCTGTGAACAATCCAGCAAGCTCAAGGAGACTATCCTCATTTTCTAAAGAGAAAACTGAGGATATGTACATATATGTACGTGTAGGTTACTTTGAATAGGTTGAATAGGCACCAGGAATGCATTACAGCACACAAATTCATATGTACAAGTGTTTCAAAGACCTCTAATGCCCCATGTCCGACCCTCTTGGCTGCACCTGCTGCTAATTTCACCACCACAGACCTTATTCCAGCTTCAGCAGGTATAACCTAAGTGGGCATCACCTCAAGTACATATCACAGGCTTCTCACTTCCAGTATCAAGGCTTGTATCATGGGGTCATGGGACTTCGGGAATGGTTCAGCACTGGGAAAGTGCAGCCCAGAAATGCATAAGTGGGGAGCAATCTATGCCTCATAGGACAAATCTTAGATCAATGGAGTCAGTAACTGAGTACACGTTTCTCTTTTTCCTCTCAGATGGACTCTCCTCAGATATTTCATACAGCTTTCAAACTGGCTTGCAGAATCAAACAACCAAATGCCTTTGGCAGTGGCCAGTTTGATAATGCAATAGCTCTCCTTACCTCCCTGTTCTACAACTCTCGTCCTTCATTCCTGGTCCTTGGACTCACACTTGCCAACAAAGTACTCCCATGAGATAAGGAACCCACACTGAGCCCTGTCGGACCAAGAGTGGTCCCAGAACGCAGCCCTCAGGATGAAGTTTTGGAACCAGACCGCTCACCAGTCAGATGGCAAAAACAACCCCACAGCTATGTTGGAAAGAGGTGATAATACATAGACTATATATTTCTTCTCTTGGAAATAGAGATAAAAGTTGCAGTGATATATTAATCATAATGATATGTAAGTTTTGGCTAAAAATGAAACAAGCATCAAATGTAACTGTACTGGTTTAACTAAAACAGTAATTCTCAACTGGGGGACTATTTTGCTCCTAGGGGATATTTGACTACATCTGAAGACATTTAAAAAATAATTTTATTGTGGTATGGTTGATTTACAATGTTGTGTTTGTCTCAGGGGTACAGCAAAGTTATTTAGTTATACGTGTACATATACTCATTCTTTTTCAGATTCTTCTCCCATATAGGTTATTACAGAATACTGAGTAGAGTTCCCTGTGCTGTACAGGAGGCCCTTGTTGGTTACCTATTTTACATATAGCAGTGTGTGTATGTAATCCGAGCTCCTAATTTACCCCCCTCACCACACTCCCCTTTGGTGATCACAAATTTGTTTTCAAAATCTGTGAGTCTGCTTCTGTTTTGTGAATAACTTCATTTATTTCATTTTTTTAAAGATTCTGTGTGAGTGATGTCCTGCGATATTTGTCTTTCTCTGCCTGACTTATGAAGATTTTTTTCCTTTTTTTTTTAAGTTATTTTATTACTTTTATTGTTACTTTATTTATTTTTATTTTTTGGCCACACCTCACAACATGTGAGATCTTAGTTCCCTGAGCAGGGATGGAGCCCGTGCCCCCTGCAGTGGCAGTGCAGAGTCTTAGCCGCTGGACTACCAGGGAGGTCCCATGAAGACATTTTTGATTGTCCCCACTTGTGGGGTGTCACTGGCCAGTGTGCTTCTAAACACCCTACAGTGCACAGGATAGCCCCTAAAAGCAAAGGATTATCAAAATGTCAGTGGTGTCAAGGCTGAAAAAAATCTGAGCTCAAAATGTTCATATTTCCTTAGCTCATTGGTCCAAATACATATGGTAAGGAAGGTGAGCCCAGCTGAAACTATTTAGACCTCCCTATGTGGCGCTAGTGGTAAAGGACCTGCCTGCCAATGCAGGAGACTCAAGAGCCTAGGGTTTCATCCCTGGGTCGAGAAGATCCCCTGGAGAAGGAAATGGCAACCCACTCCAGTATTCTTGCCTGGGAAATCCCACGGAGAGAGGAGACTGGTGGGCTACAGTCCATGGGGTTGCAAAGAGTCAAACACAACTGAGCAATGGACGTACACACTGCTCTGAGGGGGGAGTGAACCAGTGAGAGACAGAACCCACCCCACCTTCACCTAGATAGAATGGAGGAAGAATGAGGGAATAAGGGAAACTGAGGAGAAAGCCTTGCTTTGATGGACAGGATTTGGGGTGGAGGGACAGTCTGAAAAGTATGAGCCTTGTTAGATGCTGCACATGATCCCAACAGAGTCCGTTCAGTTCAGTCACTCAGTCGTGTCCGACTCTTTGTGACCCCATGGACTGCAGCACTCCAGGCTTCCCTGACCATCGCCAACTCCGGAAACTTGATCAAATTCATGTCCATAGAGTTGGTGATCCATCCAACCATCTCATCCTCAGTCGACCCCTTCTTCTCCTGACAGAGTCCGCTGATTTTCCACAAAGAGGAAAGCTGGCAAGCACACAACTAAGCCATGCTCTGAAAGTGTCTCCAACAGCCCTGCGTGACACCCATCCCAGGGAGAAAGCTGCTGGCCCTTGCATTATTATCTCAGGATGATGCAATGTTACAGAATGGCCACTCGTTATTTTGGCAAATGCACTGTTTTTGTAGAGTGAGCTCTGAATCAGGTCAAATAAAACCAAGACCTGAAAATGGACAGCTCCAAAGGAGCTGTCAGACTAGTCCCATAATGACAGTTTTCTGGAACTGGGACTTTCTGAAGGGCTCCAAACCTATTCTTCCCCTTCCAGTGGTTACTAAATTCTTAGTTTTCACAACAACCATGGTTGCAAAGCTAAATTTTTCAAGGCTGCCTTGGAGCTGGGAGAGGGGAATAGGACTAGAGCAAATTAAAACACCACAAAGCTCACTGTTCTTACCAAGATTCAGCAGTTCTTATTAA